AAAAGACTGGCAAGCATGAACAGCTGAACATATAACTACTTTCTAATGAGCTGTCCCAAAAATGGCGTTCCCTTGGCCTCATGAAGAGCTTCTTTCCCATCCCCCTCTTCCTTACAAGACCCCATCCTTTGGAGAGCGCGGCATGCATGGAGGGGTGATGACAGGACCTGTCTGCCATAGAGTGTAATGGCAGCCCTTGGATACATGTGACAAGGTGTTGACGGGTCTGCTATTATACCCTATGACAGGTTCTGTCATCAACCCCACATCGGCCTATGTTAGGGATATTGCACATAACTGAAGGCTGGGTGTGGGCAGGCTGCATGGATAAAGCTTATGCAACTATGAATGTGAAGTTACACTTTTGGCTTTTAACATTTGTATATATTTGCCAGCCTTTAAAGTTGAACTCCGGCCACAAAAACGTAACATATAAATATATTCCTCAACAGCCACAAAGAATATAATTTCTCCAAACACCTTTAGAAATCCAGATTACCTTGTAAAAGTAGCAGTGACATCATCATTGCGCTGTACATAGCCTATACAGAGAGCAGAGCTGTGGGAGGAGCCCAGCAAGCCCCACCCACTACAGGCTGCCTGCAGAAAACTAAAGGAGGGGCAGGGACAAGACCAGCTACCCTGCACAAGGAGAGAGAGCGGTCTTTATTACAGGAAGCTCCAAATTTCACACTGGATTACTGCACAGACCTGGGAAGAAATACACAAAGCACATGCCCATGTCATTGATTTAATATAGCCAGTTGAGGGAGGGGCAATTGTCACAAGGAAGCAGGGTATGCACCTGCTGCAACTGATTGGGCCGGAAGGCGAGGTGTCAGTCGCCGTTTTAAATGGACTTAGGGCAAACACAGATGAACTGGGTTTACAGCAAGCCCCAGCTCATCACTAGTAGACTGGAATAGCATAAGGCCCGGTCTGGGCCCCATTGGGAAAACTAGAACCTGATGTGTGAAAGTAAAATAGACCCACGGTGTAGTTACTCTTGGGGGAAGCATATGTTCTACCCTGGGCAGGGAACCACCGGGTTAGCTGGACGTTACTGGCAATAAGAAATCCCAAATGGTGGTCAAGGGATCTGAACTTGGCCAGCCATGGAAATTGAATGATTTGTACCTATTGACTGTATAATGCATCTTACCTCCCACGCTGTATTTCCTGACTCCACCCAGATACACACCCATCCCTTCCTACCAGAGCAAGAGGTGAGGCCTAATCCTAGCAGGCCTTACAAGCGCTGTCACCCTTCATGGTGTCAACCTACAACTTCCCTCCCAGGTTGTATTCCCTGACTCCATCCAGCTACACACCTGATCTACCTACCAGAACAAGAGGCTAAACTTAATTCTAGCAGGCCTTACAAGCATTGTCACCCTTCATGGTGTCATCCTACAACTTCCTTCCCAGGCTCACTACTCCCTGACTCCACCCAGCTATGCACCCATCCCTTTCCTACCAGAAGTAGAGGCAAGGCCTAATCCTAGCAGGCCTTACAAACATTGTCACCCTACAACTTTCCTCCTAAACTGTACTCCCTGACTCCACCCAGCTATGCACCGATCCCTTTCCTACCAGAAGTAGAGGTACAGCCTAATCCTAGCAGTCCTTACAAACATTGTCACCCTACATGGTGTCACCCTACAACTTCCCTCCTAGGCTGCACTCCCTGACTTCACCCAGCTACATACCCATCCCTTCCTACCAGAGGTAGGGGCCTTCAAGTGGTGTCACCCTACATGGTATTACCCTAAAACTTCCCTTCCAGGCTGTACTCCATCCAGCTACACCCCCATCCCTTTCTACCAGGGGTATAGACACAGCCTAATTCTAGCAGGCCTTACAAGCGTTGTCACCCTACAACTTCCCTCCCAGGCTGCACTCCCTGACACCACCCATCTACACACCTATCCCTTCCTACCAGAGCTACAGGCATGGCCTAATCCTAACAGGCCTTACAAGAGTTGTCACCCTACATCAGGGGTGCCCACAAGGACGATCGCGATCTACCAGTCGAACTCGTAGCGATCACTGGTAGATCGCCATGTCCTCTCCTCCCACCGCTTCTCTGGATCCCCGCTGCTCTCCGAGAAGAAGTGAAGGAACCAGCGGCGGGGGAGGGCGGAGGACGGAGCAGAACAGAACTAATGAAGAGCGGTGAGGAGAGAGAGACGCTCGGCCAGGATCTGGCAGCCGGCGCCTCTATCTCCCCTCACTGCTCGTCCGTTCTGTCACAGTGGCTCCGATCCCCCCCCCC